AGTTCCCATGGATTCAATCATCATTTTCACATAGATGACTGTGAATGTATTTGTATTTAACAGTTTTTTGTCTTCCCCGAATTGTAGTCTTATCTCCCCAACTGATATCTGGACACTTTCACTTGGATGGCCCATCAGAATCTCAAGTACAACATGTTTATTTCATTCATTTTTTCACAAGGTGTTTAAAGTAGTTCTTATCTTCTGACCTCAATTCATCCCATCTCCAACTTCCTTGTTTTTGTTGTGGGCACTACCATTCTTTTAGTCACTCATTTTTCCCAACCTTAGGATCATCCTCTGGAGTGAGAAGAAAAAGTTGAGGGGATATAAAATGAGGAGATTAAACTATCTAGTCAGGGCAGAGCTAAGATGGCAGAGAAAAAGCAGGGATTCTCCTGAGCTCTCCCAAATTCCCCTTCAAATAACTTTAAAATAATGCCCCAAAACAAATTCTGGAGCATAGGACCCACAAAAGGATAGGGTGAAACAAATTTCCAGTTCATGACAACTTAGAAGGTTGGCAGGAAAGGTTTGTTGCGCCAGAGAGAAAGCGGGGCGCAGGCTGTGCCAAAACAGGCCACGCCCCAGCCAACCAGCGACTGAGTCAGTGGAAGCAGTGGCCGCTTCTGGAGCTCTCAGCCCACAGGCTGAAAAAGGGTTGGACAGATGTTCATAAGGAGATTATAGGGTCCCTTTGCCGGCACTGGGTGCAGGACTCTGTTGCATTGCCCATCCTCAGATCCTGGTTGACAGTTCCAGGGTGAGGAGGAGCACTAACATACCACAGCTTGTGGCCCCAGGGGAGCAGGGACCCTGATCACAGCTTCAGATTGGAAAAGAGTGCTTGTGGTCCCTTACAGACCAGGGCACTGGCAAGGAGAGTGGTAAACACACCTCCTCTTAGATCATACCACACTGGAATAAGTGAAAGCTTACAGACCCCCAGAACTAGCTCTAAAAAGTGCTGCACAAAAATCCTGAAGCTTGGGACGGTGCCCCCTCCACTGTGGGAGCAAAGCCCAACTTTAAGATAGAGCTAAGAATCAAGAAATAGGCTGGGAAAATGAGCAACCAGCATAAAAAGATCCTGACCGTAGAAAGTTACTGTGGTGAGAGAGAAGATCAAAACACAAACTCAGAAGAAGGCAACAAAATCAATATTGCTGCATCCAGAGCCTCAAAGAAAAATGTGAATTGGTCTCAGGCCCGGGAAGACTACACAAAGGATTGTAAAAATCAAATAAGAGAGGTAGAGGAAAATTGGGAAAAGAAATTACTGATGCAAGAAAATCATGAAAAAAGTCAACAGCTTGGTAAAGAAAACACAAAAAATACTGAAGAAAATAGCACCTCAAAAAGCAGAATTGGCCATTTGGAAAAAGATGTACAAAAATTCACTGAAGAAAAGGACTCCTTAAAAAGTAGAATTGGCCAAATGGAAAAGGAGGGGGTACAAAAGCTCACTAAAGAAAATAATTCCTCAAAAATTAGATTTGGACAAGTGCAAGCTAATAACTCCATGAGACATCAAGAAACAATAAAACAAAATCAAAAGAATGAAAAAATTAGAAGAAAATGTGAAATATCTAATTAGAAATGCAAGTGACCAGGAAAATAGAACCAGGAAAGATAAGAATTACTGAACTACCTGAAAGCCATGACACACACAAAAAGAGCCTAGACATCACCTTTCAAAAAATTATCAAAGAAAACTGTCCTGATGTTCTAGAACCAGAAGACAAAATAGAAGTTGCAAGGATCTACCAATCACCTCCTGAAAGAGATCCCAAAATGAAAACTCCCAGTGATATTATAGGCAAATTCCAAAGCTCCCAGGTCAAAGTGAAAATACTATAAGCAACCAGGAAGAAGCAGTTCAGATATCATGGAGTCTCAGTTAGGATAACATAAGATTTAACAGCTTCCATAGTAAAGGTTTGGAGGGCTTAGAACAGGCCTGCACAATCTGTGGCCCATGGCCCGCGGGCATGCCAGAGGTTATGGGAGGCCCGTGAAAAATGTGGAGGAAAACATCCTGAAATCCTTTGGCGGGCCGCAGGTTGTGTAAGCCTGGCTTAGGATACGATGTTCCTGAGGGCAGAGGAGCTAGGATTACACCTACCCAGCAATGTAATCCTTAAGGGGAAAAAATAGATATTCAAGCTTTCCTGATGAAAGACCAGAGCTGAATAGAAAATTTTATTTTCAGATACAAGACTTAAAAGAAGCATAACAAGGTAAATAGGAAAGAGAAATCATGAAGGATTCAGTAAGGTTAAATGGTTTACATTTCTGTATGGGAAGGTGATACTCATAACTCTTAGGAATTTTCTTGTCATCAGTGCAATTAGGAGGAGGATACAGAGATACGGAGAGCGTGAGTGTGAGCTGAATGTGTTGGGGTGACTACGAAAAAATAAAATCGAGGGGTGAAGAAGAGTAATGCACTGGAAGAAGGGGCAAGGCAGAGCTAGAATAGGGTAGATTGTCTGATATGAGAGAGGTGGGACAGAGCTGTTCCGGCGGAGGAGAAGGTAGGAGAGTTCATGAGCCTGTGAACCTCATTCTCGTTGGAATTGGCTCAGCGAGGGAGGAATAAGCACACTTAGCTAGGTGTAGAAATCTGTCTTACCCTCCAGGAATGTAGGAGAGGAGGGGGATCAGAGAAGGGGGGAGGAGCTGATAGAGGGGGGGCAGATTAGGGGAAGCAGTAGCCAGAAGCAGAACACTTTTGAGTATGGATAGGGTGAAAGGAGAGAGAGAGAGTAGGATCAACATGGAGGAAATAGAATGGAGGAAAATACAGTAAATAGTCATAACTGTGAAAAATTTTTACAGCAAGTTTCTCTGATAAAGACCTCATTTCTCAGAGAACTGAGTCAAATTTATAAAAATAAGAGCCATTCCCCAGTCGACAAAATGTTCACAGATATGAACAGGCAGTTTTCAGACAAAGTAATTAAAGCTATCTATACTCATATAAAAATGCTCTAAATCCCTATTGATTAGAGAAAAGCAAATTAAAACAACTCTGGGATGCTACCCCACACCTATCAAATTGACTAATATGACAGAAAAGGAAAACAACAATTTTTTTTTTTTTTTGGATGAGACAGTTGGGGTTAAGTGACTTGCCCAGGGTCACATAGCTAGTAAGTGTCAGGTGTCTGAGGCCAGATTTGAAGTCAGGTCCTCCTGAAAAATGACAAATGTTGGAGGGAAAATTGTGATGCTGATAAACTTCGGTGGCATTGTAAACTGCTTCAACCATTCTGGAGCCATTTGGAACTAGGCCCAAAGGGCTACAAAATGATGCATACTTTTTGATCCAGTAATAGAACTCTCAGGTCTGTATCCCAAAGAGTTAAAAAAGAAGAGGACTTACTTGTACAGAAGTATTTACAACAGCTCTTTTTGTGGTGGAAAGGAATTGGATATTGAGGGGATGCCCGTCAATTGGGGAATGGTGGAACAAGTTGTGGTATATGATTGTGATGGAATACTGATGCTCTCAGAAAAACTTGGAGAGACTTAGATCAACTGATGCAAAGTGAAATGAGCAGAACCAGGAGACGATTGTACACAATAACAGCCACATTGTACAATGATCAAGTATGAATGACTTAGCTCTTCTCAGCAATAAAATGATCCAACACAGTTCCAAAGATCATATGATGAAACGTGCTATCCATCTCCAGAGGAGGAACTGATGGCGTCTGAATGCAGATTGAAGCATAATTTTTTACTTTCTTTATTTTTCTTTCTTCTTTGTTGTTGGTCTGTATTTTCTTTCACAACATGACTAATATGAAAATATGTTTTGCATGATTGCACATATAGGGAGGGGAGGGAGGGAGAGAATTTGGAACTCAATTTTAAAAAACAAATGTCTAAAATTGTTTTTACATGGAATTGGGGAAATATTTTTTTTTAAAAGAAAAATAACAACAACAAAAAAGTTTATAGTGTCTTAGGGTTCTCTCTCTAAATCCAGTAGTCCTGTAATCCTTTGTCATAGGACCAGCTCTCACCATGAGGTCTAGGGTAAACAAAAGAGGCAGCTTCACAGGGTAGCACACACAGAAAGGTCACTGCGAATGACTTCATACTTATTTAAAGGGAATCATGTTCACTGATGTGGCCTCCTCTCAGGACTGCGTATTCTTGCCAGCCTCGTTCCGCCCTACCCAGACTCCTCCTGTTTCATATACTCCATAGAAGATCTACCAACTTCTACTCATAGGCCTTTTAATATTCAATGGAGGCAGTGTAGAATGTGGCTTCCTTCACTGTTGATGAATGACTGGCCCATCACATATTTTTGATCCTAATGATGCCTGTCATAGCATTTCTTGTGCTCATGTCATTGAAAGCACTGTGTTATGGCTATTCACACTTTCCATAAATAATCTCCACTTCCCTTTGGGGAACTCAGATTCTGATTCCTCAGTGATTGTGGTTTTCCTTGACTCACAGTAATGAAAGGTAATTTTCATAAATGCAAGTTTTTAATACCAGAAAACTCTACTTTGCTGCATCACCTCTGGGTACCTGATTTTGTGATAAGTCAGGGCCTACATCTTCAGTGAATGGACAGCTACACGGTGGGACAGAGACAGCCCAGTTTGTATAAAAGCCTTGTCTGGGCTCTTCTTTTTTGTTTGCTTGTTTTTTGCCTTTTTTTTGGTGAGGCAGTCAGGGGTTAAGTGACTTGCCCAGGGTCACACAGCTAATAAGTGTCAAGTGTTTGAGGCCGGATTTGAACTCAGGTCCTCCTGACTCCAGGGCTGGAGCTCTATCCACTGCGCCACCTAGCTGCCCCTGGGCTCTTCTTAACCCCCAGGGTTCTGAGCACTGCCCACATGGAGCTGACAACAAAGGCCTTGTCAGCCAATGAGCGAATGCATGCGTATTGCTCTTTGTGATCACATCACGATTGGTTAACATCTGTCTAGCATTTCTTGCACAGCCACTTTTGTCTTTGTAATCTCTCCTAGGAAAGATTGTGTCTTCACCATCGACCCTTCCACAGCTCGAGATCTGGACGATGCCCTCTCCTGCAAGCCCCTTCCTGATGGTAGGACAAATCTTTCCTGATGCTGTACCATCCTGTTTAAGGGGTGGTGACTCACCAACTTTCATTGTTACCCTGTGGACTTTTACAAGTGTCTGGGCAGCATGTATCGTAAATACAGCCAAATGGGTGAAATTTCAGTCAGAGGCCTCTTATACATCCTGTTTGCATTATTTTTCCTCCTGGGCCTATGGAACTCTTTGTAGAATGGGAATGACCTTTCTGATGACTTCGGTAGGTAGCAGTAAGGACAAAGGTCTCACGTGCCAGTCTTGAGGAAATGTTGCCAGTGTCCTCATACTTCCCAGGGACTCTCGTTGCATCAGATGCCTGGACTAGCTTCCTAGTCTTGATGAAGTTCATGAAGATCAGTTCCTTTAGGACATGGAGGATCAGTGGACCCCTCAAGGTCCTCCACTCTTGCAGCCTGCAGCCCCTTCTTAGCTTGGGTATGAATATTTCCAGAGTGAGCTGTATTTATCCCACCAGGCCTGCCCTCACTGGGGCTATGGCCCTGCTGGCATAATCTCATGCATCAGAGGACATGAGGGTTATGATAATAGTCACCTTGCTTTCTAGCACGTTCAGGTTTATAAAACACTTTTCTCATCGCAGCTGTGGGAAAACGGGGAGCCCAAGTGATCTTAACCCCATTGCAAAGATAGGGAAGCTGTGGGTCATATTGGTGAAAAATTTGTATCTGATGACCCAGCCAATGAAGGATGGTGCTGGGACTCAGGCCCAAGCCTCCTGACTCTAAGTCCACTCTGTCCATGCTTTGTGGAGGTTAAGTGGGTAGAAAGCAGGGCTTGCCTAGACCTTCTGTGACTGGTTGCTATTGCAGCTGAAGTCCATTGGCCTGTTGCTGTGATGGTGTTTCCCAGGAGATCGTTTGTAAAAGCTGGAAGTGGAGATTGGACAGTAAAACAAAAGAGGAACTTTCTGAGGGCCCTTGTGCTAGGACTTGATATAGAAAGGTTTCAGCATGAAAGCAGATACCTGGGCAAAGCAAGGATGCAGCCTCGCACAGTGATGGTTTCTAAGAACTTTCAGCCGGACTGTTAGAAACCATTCTCATTGATGAACGATGGGGAAGTTTTCTGAGCAAACTTTCAGATGCATTTGGCAGTTAGTGAGAGTGAAACTAGCCACGTTCTTGGACAGAGGCTTTGTGGTCAAGAGAGGCCCCAAAATGAACAAGGACAAACGTGGCTGAGCTGGCATGTGCTTCTTGAGCCTTTGTTTGGGTTTATATTTTCCCTGATAGCTGATTTGACTGCTGGCACATACATCTGAATTGATAGATTCATTCACGTCAGAGTAAATTTCAGTCAGCAAACATTCACGTGCCAGGCAGTAGGCTAAGTGCTACGGATACAGAAAGAACCAAAAGACAGTCTTTGTCCTCAAGAATCTTATATAATCTAATGGTGGCCAGGGGTGGGGAGGGGGCGGGAAACATGCAAACAAATATCTACAAAGCAAGCTCCATACAGGAGTAATAGGAAATAATTAACAGAAGAAAGAAGTAGAATTAAGAGGGGTTGTAAAACCCTGCTAATAACAAGATGGGATTTTAGTTAGGACTTAAAGAAAGTGGAGGAGGTCAGTAGTCGAGGGGAGGAGGGAGAGTGCTCCAAGTATGAGGAAGAAGGATAGGCAGAGAAAATGCCCAGAGCCAGGAGATGGAGGGTCTTGTTCATGGACCATCCAGGCTGGTGTCATTGGGTGGAAGAGTATGTGGTGGAGAGTAAGGTGTAAGAAGGCTGGAAAAATAGGAGAGGGCCAGGTTATGAAGAGCTTTGAATGTCAAATGGGATTTTATATGTGATTTTGGAGGCAATAGGGAGGCTAGACTAATTGAGTAGGGTGTGACATTTGGACTTATGCTTTAGGAAAATCTTTGGTGGCTGAAGGGAGGATGGCTTGGAGAGAGAAGTGAGGTAGGCAGATCCTCCAGCAGCTCAGAACACTAGGGGTGATGTGATGAGTCTTTCACAGGTGATCATTGTTACAGCATTGCTATTACTGTGTACAGTGTTCTTCTGGTTCAGTTCACGTAAGTGTTTCCAGCTTTTTCTGAAAGCATCTTGTCATTTCTTATAGTATAATAATATTCTATCACAATCGTATCACAGCTTGTTCAGCCATTCCCCAGTTGATGGGCATCCCCTCAATTTCCAGTTCTTTGCCACCACAAAAAGAGCTGCTATAAATATTTTATACATAGAAGTCCTTTCCCTTTTTTTTAATCTCTTGGGGGATACAGACCTAGTAGTGGTGTTACTGAGTCAAAGAGTATACACAGTTTTATAGCCCTTTGGGCATAGTTCCAAATTGCTCTCCAGAATGGTTGAATCAGTTTAAAATGCCACCACCAACTGTGCATTAGTGTCCTGATTTCCCACATCTCCTCCAGCATTTATCATTTTCCCTTTCTGTCAGCAGGCAATCTAGTAGGTGTGAGGTGGTACCTCATAGCTGTTTTAATTAGAGCCCTTTTTCAAAGGACTTTAAATAGCTTTGATTTCCTTGTCTGAAAACTGCCTCTTTGTATCTTTTGACCATTTATCAGTTGGGGAATGACTTGCATTCTTATAAATTTGACTTGTTTCTCTATATATTTGAGAAGTGAGGCCTTTATCAGAGACACTTGTTATAAAATCCCCTCCCCCCTTTCTGTTTTCCCTCCAATCTAGGCTTTGTTGGTTTTGTTAATTATGCAAAATTGTTTTAATGGAATAAAATAATAATCATCCATTTTGTGTCTCATAATGCTCCCTTATCTCGTTTGGTCCTAAATTCTTCCCTTCTCCATACATGTGACAGGTAAACTATTCCATGCTTCCCTACTTAGCTTATGGTATCACGTTTTATGTCTGAAACATGTACCCATTTTGACCTCATCTTGGTATATGGTGTGAGATGTTGGTCTGTACCTAGTTTCTGCCAAACTATTTTCCAGTTTTCCTAGAAGTTTTTGTCAAATGGTAAGTTCTTGTCCTAAAAGCTTGGATCTTTGCATTTATCAAACACTTTTAAAGTCATTACCTACTGTGTCTTGTGTACCTGTTCTATTCCACTGATCCACCACTTTATTTTTCAGCCAGAACCAGAATGTTTTGTTGATTACCACTTTATAATATAGTTTGAGATCTGGTATATCTTGGCCACCTTTCTTTGCATTTTTAAAAATTAATTCTCTTGTTATTCTTGAGCTTTTGTTCTTCTAGATGGAATTTTTTTTAGTTTCTATAAAATGTATTTTTTTTTGGTAGTTTGAGTAGTATGGCAACATATAAGTGAATCAATTTAGGTAGAATTGTCATTTTCATTATATTGACTAGGCCTACTCATGAACAATTAATATTTTTCCAGTTCAGATCTGACTTTATTTGTGTAAAAAATATTTTATAACTGTGCTCCTATAGTTCCTGGTTTTGTCTTGGCAGATAGACTTCCAAGTATTTTCTATTGCCTACGGTAATTTTAAAATTTTTGTCTTTTGCTGCTGGACTTTTTTGGTAATTGTTAGCAATGCTGATGATTTAAGTATTCATTTTCTATCCTGCAACTTAGCTAAAGTTTTAATTATTTCAGCTAGTTTTTAATTGGTTCCTTAGGATTCTCTAAGTTATTCCATCCTGTCATCTGCAAAGAGCGATAGTTTTGTTTCCTCATTGCCTGTTTTCATTCCTTCAATTTCTTTCCTTCTCACTGCAATAGCCGGCATTTCTAGCACAATCCCGAGTAATAGCGGTGATAACGGCCGTCCTCATTTCGCCCCTGATCCTGGGGAGGCTTCCGGCTTTGTCCTCATTACAGGTAATGCTCGCTGATGGCTTTGGACAGATCCTACTTATTCTTTTAAGGAGCCTCCACTTATTCCTATGCCTTCAAGTTGTTGTTTGTCCTTCTTTCTGAAGGAGGACCAATGACATCAGGAGGGTGATGTCAGGACTTGGAAGTGAATTGGATTTAAGCAAGTCAGAGCTGCGCAAAGTCATCAGCCTCACTGTCTCCACCAGAGCGTTGGAGTCCAGTAGCAAGACATAGGTCAAGATGACTGGTCATCCCCCTCTGCCCCGAATGCATGGGGAGCCTTTTTTTTTTTTTTTTGTAGGCTAAGGTCTTTCCCAGGTCTCGGTTTGTCTGAGACAACACCCAATCAATAGTTAAATGCTAGGTAAGAATTGAAGCAAAAGATGGCCTAGTTTTCCTTCGTAAAAGGATCAGTCTGGGAGGGGAAGACCCTCAGAGTTTCTAGCCAGAACAGAAACAAATTTCTGTTTACACTCATTTTAAACCATCAAAATTCAAACACTGAGCAAGTGAGGCTTGGGCTGGAACCTATTATTGGCCAATCTCTTTCAGTAGATGAGCGGTAAGGACTAAGAGGTGATGAGGCCCTGGAACAGTGGAAAGTAGGAGGTGAGATGAAAGACTGTGAAGGCCAATAAATGTAGAGGTTGAAAGAGTGTGAGCAAAGATGGTGGCTAGGTACTAAGTGAAAGATAGCCCCACCCTGGCCAGCTAGGCCCTCATCGGATCTCTGAAGCTGCCAACCTGGAGGGCCATCCCTCCCAGAGCCGACACGACTTGAGAGGTATCTGGAGTGACAGAAACTTTAGTCTGAACAGCTGCTCTGGATTCCTGATGCACCGGTGGGGTTTGGAAGCAACATCAGGACATTTGGCAGAACCATGGAGCTGCAGGGAAAGGGAAGAGTGTTGAGGAAGACCCTGCAAAGGACTGAGTTGTTTAGCTGAGCATCTTTGCTTGGGACACTCGTGTATCTGGCTTGGGGGATGGTAAGGTCTGCCGGCACTGCTGGTATGGGCGGCTAACCCAAGAGCAGCTTGGAAGGACCGGAGTAAAGTGAGTTTCGTTCAGTTTAGTCGGTTCCCAGTCGGAGCTAGCTCATGTTGATGTTGGTGGGGGGAGGAGGAAGAAGAAGGTTCACTTTGTGTTTTTGTTTTTGTAAACAAAATAACGTTTCAGCG